CCTCCCTCCCTCCCTCCCTCCAAGGCTGGTTAAAAAGCCATGAATACTTGAAAGGATCTCATATAAAAGAAGGTCAGTGCCTATTTTCTCTTTCCAGAGAGAATAATGGACTTAAGTTACAGGAAGGCAGATTCCACATAGGTATTAGGAAAAATTTCCAAAGAGCAAGAGCAGGGTCATCCTGGAAACAATTACCAACCAATTAGTTGGTTGACCGCCTTTCACTGGTGGTTGTTCAGGAGGAAGCTAGACAGTCATCTGTCAGGGAAGTGTATTGAGTGTCGGACTCAATCACCTAAATGGTCCCTTCCGGTCCGTATGACAGGACACAGAAGACTGTTCTATCCCTAGAGGAAGTTGGCTAAAAACCAAAAGCTCACATGAGACACGACGTGGTCTTGAATGCCGCCTTTGCTCCAGACAGGAAGAAATATTCATTGTGAGCGAGCTTTGCAAGGCTCTCAGCGCAATGGCTTTGCTTTGGAATTAGGGACTGAATATAACAATCAGATTGCCGATAAATGTAGTACAAGTCTTTGTTTGTGGAAACGACATCCATTTTTGTTTCTCTCTCAAGGTATTGCTGTTGTTTAGTGCTGTTTAATACCTGTAACAAAGTACTGACGCCAATGTTCCGTGTTCTCTTCACATTTGATTCATCTCATGTTATCTCCCTGCCTATGTATTTGTATTATTTTCTTCAGTTGTAACAGCTCAGATTTGAGCTTGTATGTATAAAATGTGTTACTTGGAGAACCATGTTCTTTTCAAGAAAGGTTCTTTGCTGTTTAGTTATGTGTATATTTGGGCAGGGTAGATTAAAAGTATATTTTATGAATGAGTGGATTTGAGTCTACATGTTTTACAATTGTGACAGTCAATCAGAAAAAGCAGTTTCTTTTGTCAATTGGTGGTGAAATGATGGATTTAATTTCTCAAAGCAAGATATATTAGCAAATTACTTTTGAGCTTCCAGATAAGTTAATTATTATTGTAACTCAATTTATTTCTGCAGGTTCCCGTTCCTGTAAACCCAATTCTCCAGGCATATGGCAATATTTCAGTAAGTCTGATTTTAGTCATTTGAAGGAATTTTCTTTGCATAAAAACAGATCCTAAGTAGAAGTACATATGTCATGTAAGGGCCTGGGGCAGAGTTCATAGTGGATGGGAAATTATGTTTGTGTGTTTCTTTTTTTATCCTTTTCAAACTTACTTAGTGTTTCTATAATTTTATGTTTTTGTAAACTAAAATTTCCATGAACACTATAACCTTAATGCAACTTACGTTCATTCTCTTTGTCCAGTGGCAGAATTGTTTGAATTACCAACCTTTCTGCTGAATCCAGCTGTTTTTTTTTAATAACTTTCTGTTTATCTTCATTTTATTTCTCATTTGTTTTTTTAGGGTTTTTTTTATGTATATGTGAGGCAGGTCACACAACCCTCCACATGCAAAGATTTTAAAAATTGGAGCTACATATTTGCAATCCTGAGGAAAGATGAAATTTTGTGTTCATATTTCTGCCTGAAAAACTGTTTCATAGAACAATCTCTTGGAAACTGTTTTGTTAGTATAACTTAGTAACATAGTGTAAATAAGAATGAAAATGAAATGGAGTGAACCTTCCTTAACTAAAGGATTCCTCAAGACACTTGGCCTTTTCTCACATTTACATTTTGTTTTGCTACAAAAGTAAATCTGGCAGCTAATAATAAAATGGCATTGATTCCTTACACTTACCGTATGTAGTTCTTGGGAAAATAGACAGCAAAGCTACATTAAAATTAATTTCCAACAGTTGCTGTATAATTTTCTGTTTTCCAGTTTCTTTACAATCTCGTTTCCAATTTCTTTACATATCAATCAAATTGGTACATATTGGTAGCAGTGTCTGTTTAATTGCTTCTTTGGGCAATTAATTACTTCTTTAATTACTTCTTTGGGCTTACCAAAGAAGTAATTAAACAGACATTGCTACCAACACGTACCAATTTGATTAATAAACCTCCAACACAATTGGTAAATGTAATGCAATTTCAAGAAGATGTAGTGCTATTATAAATTACTTTATAGTCAGTTCTTGATGACTTGCTGAAATAAATCAAAGAGAATAAAGAATTTTAAGTCGTCTCATCAAGTTTGAACACAAGGTCCTTATCCGATATATTTAAAACTTCTAAAAGAGCTTCTTGCTTTTGATGTATGCATTTATTTCTGATACTTACATTTTTAATGTTAGCTTTTTAAGCTTTTCCTTGGAAAACAGGCTCACACGGTAGTACTCTTACCTGAGCTCTGTTTTTAGCAGATGCGAATATGATGTGAGCTGGTCATTTCTCTGTGAGGGTTGTTTGTGTAGTGAGGTACAGAGAAAAATAGTATTCATCCTAAAATAGCGCTGAAAGTTAAGAATTTGAATTGATCCACCGTAGCTTTTGATGGAATTATTTTTATTTTTCCTTGCAGCCTTCTGCATATGTATTGGACATTCTCAAAAAGGTGAAATCAAGGTGCGTTCCAGAAACTTCTTACCAAGAGTCTTGTGAATTTGTTAATAGCTTGTCTAATGGGAGCTGCTGAGGCACAAGCTGGAATGGCTTCAGCAAGCTGAATCTACTTTGTACAACTAGTTCCATGTTCTGTTTTCATAATCTGTAGTTTTGTCAAGCTTCCAAGCGTACTACATTAAGAGAATTTGCTCTAATGAAGCATTGAGCACTGTTGAATATATAGCCTGTCTAAACATGGTAATATCCTTGGAATCCCATGACAAATGCATGTTGTGGGTCTTAATTAGATGAGCATACAGTTTTACTGCCTCTCCGAAATTCTCCTTAGCCCTAATGAGCAGAGTAAGTTGCAGGCCTATCACTGGAAGCATTTAGACAGAAACAATAAAAAAAAGTTTCTTTCCAATTCTCCTTCCCTAACCTCTCTCAGATGTGCTAAGAGGAAGCGAAATAGAATTTCTGAGTGTTAAATGAATCATAAAGCATAACTAATATTCTTCTAGAGAGCCAGTTCACTCAAGTGCTTATGTAACAAATTGCCATCTTTTCTTTTAAGGAAGGTCTGGCTATGTGTATTGATGGTTCTAAAACTAGAAATTGCTCTAGAACCTGGATGGGCAATATGTTGTTGGATTGCAATTCCTATCATACTTCTTCATGATGGGTAAGGCTGATAGGAGCTGGAGCTCACCCGTATGCTGCCTACCTCTGCTGTAGAATTAAATTAAACCACATTTCACCCAGGACAGAGATTCTCAAACTTTCTGTGTCCAGAGCCCACTTGAGAGGCTGGCCATTCAGGAAAAAACTTCAGGCATTTGCCTGTAACTCTTATCATCCAGCTGGCTGCAAGTAAGGAGAGCCAAGAGACCAAGTTGGAGCAAGGCTGAGAACCAGAAGTAGAACCAGATCCACAGGTTGGAACCATTGATTCAGAGTGATCCCTGTTTTATTGATCAGGCAAATTCCCATTCCTGGAAGGAAGGCAGTAATAGTGCCAGGACACTATTCCTTCCCTTTGCCTTGAGCATCTGCTTTTCCACCCTTGTTAGAGAGAAGTCTTACTGACAGGTTTGTTTGTTTTTTTAATTTTCTTGGTGCTTGATGTGGAAATGATGATCTTAGTTCCCTCTCTCCCTCATAGTGAATTGGAAGAATCTCTTTTGGTTTTGCCCTTCTCCTATGTGCCTGACCTTCTAATGCTCTTCAATCAATATCTCCAGTTGGGTCTAGAGGTAGAGTTGCTCTGCCGGGCTCTCCTGTTTTTGCTCAGGTAAATTGAAGGGATTTTTCATTATTATTTTTTTTCCTATCAGGTATATTACTATTTTCTTTAAGACTGAAACTGGCTGACTTACAGTTTAGCATGGAGAAGGTAATCAGAATTCGGCATGCTAAGAAGGCAGATTTGAAATTAATAAAATTAAATCAATAGCTCGGATTTTGTTCATAGCTTAGCAGTTCAAGTTTAGTCACTAGAGCATAAACACACTCTGAAAGTTGCTGGATAACAGTATCACCATTTTTGTTGATTTAAAAACATAACCCCAATAGAATCAGTCTCTAATCAATGAACATTTCATCCAAATTAGGCACCAGTTTTCCCAATCCCTTTGTCTTGTACAAAGTATAGTCCTTCACTTTCTCTGATATCTTGTAATTGTCAAAGGCTGGCAAAACAAGAGCCTGGCAATATCAAGCAATTGTTCTGCAGGCAACCCTGATCAGCATGCACATTCAGTTAAAATGGGAAATGCTGTTTATCTCGTGAATTGCTTTAATGTTGTTGGCAAATGCTATAATTGAGACTGAAACCCGACGTGTTTGCTTGCTCACTTGTTTGCTTGATTTCTGCACCACCCACTGTGGGTGGTGTGCAAAAATCAAGCACGATAAACTGCACCCCACAATACGTTTAAATTATGAATGGCTATATAAGACATAAAAAAATAAGCTTAATTTTTTTCTGAAAATATGTAGCTGCAGATTATTAGGGCTGGATGAAAAAGATGTGCTTCTAAACCCTTCTTAAAGGTCAGTGTGGATTGGCAACTCCGTATCACACTGTCAGGTCCACGTAAGAGGCCCCATCAGGGAGAGGGCTTGGCCCCAGGTAGCAAGCAGGTGAACCAGCTGCCACTAAAACAGGCCTCCTTAGATACGCCTCAGTAGTTGGTGTAAATCTTGCTGGAGGCGGCGTTCTCACAGATGTTCCAGGGTTTTAAAACAACAAACAGCATCTTGTATTGTGCCTGGAAAAGAGTCAACAGCTAGGGTGGCGTTTTCAAAATAGGGATAATACGGCCTCTGCAGGATAAATGGGAGACCAGCCTGGCTGTTTCATTTTGTACCAGTGGAAGTTGCAAGTGACACGTGGGGTAGCCCTATGTAGAGCTCATTACAAAATTCAAGCTTCGAGGTTACCAGCAGGTGTGCCTTGGTTTTTAGGCTTGGACTAAAGATTTGTGAAAATGACAAATCACAGCAGGAAATTTTTGTTCTTGTCGAAGGCCACATTTTTCCCACTATGATGTCAGGGGCTTGAAGCAAGTGAGGAGTGAGAAGAAAACGACTGGGGCTACTTTCTTTTCCCTGCCTCTTCCTCCTCACTCAGTAAGCTGTCTGAGGAGCTATAACTAATGCCAAAGACCTGCTATTACGATTATTATAATTATCTGTCTTTCTGTCTCTATTCTCTGTATCTATCATTGAGTGCTTCCCCCCTCTTTTACTCCTGTCATTTCAGTTTCGTGCCCAGTTTTTGCCAGTGGCTTGAACTAATCTCTTGCAAAGAGATTCCTCCCCTTCCTCACCCTTCCACAATTTCAGGGTTTGTTATTTTTTTCTTTCCATGCTGCATGAAAATAGGTCAACAGCTGAAGTTTTCCCACTCTCCTTTCTGGCCCTGAGACTTCATCTTGAAATCATGGGCAGCAGTTTTGCTTCCATAGTTTAGACAAAATTCCTCCTGAATTAGTCAGGAACCCAGACCCAATATCTTGCTAATCTGAAAAAAATTAGTTTTTCTGTTTTTTCCTCCTAGGATACATTTTGGGCAGATCACAAGCAATCAGCTTCTTGTTCAGGTGATGGAGAACCTGAAAAAAACCACCATTTCAAGAGTCAGTCAAGTGAGAGTAAGTGTGCAGTGGCACAATATTTCTGCATGTTTAAAAGGTGCTGGTTAAGAATTTTAGTCTGATCTCCCAAGCTCTGCACTTCCTTGTCCAGTGTCATGGAAGGGGCAGCGACTGAACTGATCTCGCTGAGTATCATCTGCCTTTCAGTTAAGAATTATCAGCATGCCTCAGCCCAGCTCCTTTCTCCAGTGCTAGGAATATGGAGTGGGATGCAAAAACTCCCATGATTTGTTTTGTTAGGTAATGAGTGGCTAGAATTAAAGCTTGTTGGTATTTTTTTAAAGATTTTTTAAATCCCATCTTCAAGGTGGCGATCATACCTA